CACACCTGGAGAGTGAGAGGACCTACGCCTGAAGCCAAGCCGGGCAGGCAACAAAGTCGGCATCCTCAGCAGGCTTTCTGCCAGTGAATCCGGAAACTCTAAACATATGCGATTCCAGGAAATCAAACTGGCGGAACAGTCACCCTTGGGGCGCTGGGGGAGAGCAGCGCACCTAGTTTCCAAACGGTAACGGTCCATTTTCTCCCACCATCCAGGAAGGGGAAATCTCGAGAGACATAAGGTCTGTGAGTGGTTGCCTAAGGCTCAGAGTCACAACCGACTGCAAGAGGGGTGGAGGGAGCTGGGGGAAGAGGGCAGTGGGAATGGTCCAGAAGCTAGCTGTGGGAGGGTAACGGGGAAATGGGTGTGACCAAAGCACAGTTGTGTGTGTGTGTAATATCGCGCGGAAAGCCGGTCCTTTGGAACATGAATGGCCACCACCAAAATATGTTTTGAAAAGTTGATTCCGGCAACACCTGCACAACTCCATAAATTCACTGAAATTCGCTGAGTTGTACGCTGGGTATCTTCTGACCAATACAAACTGTACCTCAGTAAAGCTGTCTCAAAGAAAAAGGCTGGATAGCCCACCAATCTACTCTTAGGCCCCACACTAGGCAACTCACGGGCTTTCCCATAGTTAAGTAAATTCTAAAACTTGGGATATCCTGCTCAGAGGAGATACCAGTGTAGAAAAGGCGCCTGGCAGGCAGGAAATAGTCAGAGCTGTCTTCCTGCTGTCTCGCGAAGGTTCAGGATGCTTTTAAAAATCCTGGAGCCTGCTGCATGGCACACACGTTTAATTCCAGCACCCTGGGACACTGAGGCAGAAGGATTTCCAAGTTCCAACCCAGCCTGGGCAATGTAGCAACTAGTAAGGCCCTGTCTCAAAGTAAAATATTTTTTATTTTACAAAAAATGACTGGGGTGAGGCTGGGGATTTAGCTTAGTGGCACAGCGTCTGCCTGGCAAGCGTGAGGTTGTGAGTTCGATTCCCGCTACCAGAAAAAAAAAAAGAAAAGAAAAAAAAAATGACTGGGGATGTAGCTCAGTGCAAAGACCCTGGGTCCAAACCCAAGTACAAAAAAAAAAAAAAGAAAAGCAAAAAACAAAAAACAAACAAAAACAACACAAAAAAGCAAAGCTCCTGGGAATCTTTGGTGCAGTGACCAACAGGTTGCCTGATTGAGACATACAGGCGAGAACAGGGCCCCGGAGGCATCAGAAGCTGCAGCCCAGCATCCTCTCAGACCCTAGGAAGACCCGCAGGTGCTGCCCTTACCTGCCCCAAGGGTGCCAGGCCCCCTGTGCACGCGCCCTGCCTCTGGGTGCAGGCCCAAGCCTGGGCAGCGTTTTGCGCCTGCTCACCACCACGGGCGGGTTACCAGCTCCCCTGCAAAGGGGGGTCAGCAGGACTCGGGCCTTGATTTACTCTACGCTCTGATGGGGACGGGGGCCTTCGGAGTGCCCCACTTGCGGGAGCTGGGCAGGAGGCACGCCGGGTCAGCGGGGCCTTCCGCAGCGAGCACTGTGCCTGCGCTGTTGCCTGGCAGGCTGGCCGTGCGGAGACACAGTCCCGGCCCCGGGCCCGGAAGCCGGTGGAGAGCAAGTTGCGAGGAACGCGGGAAACGCGCCAGCCATGCTCAGGTCCAGGGTGGAGAAGAGTGACGCGTGTTCGGATGCGAGGCCGTGAGCTGCTCCCTTCACAGCAAGTTTCCGTGTGCGAATTACATGCAATCATGTTTTAAATAGATTTTATTATGGTGTGGGAGAAAGGTGACTCCAGGCTGGAGCGGCATCCGTCAGTTCAGGGTCTGCATCATCTGGAGCGGCAACTGGCTCCACGCGTATTTTCTCACGTGAGCGAAGGAAGGCTTCGGGAATGGGGGTGCTGTGTGCAGATTTAAGTGAACCATCTGACAGATTCGCGGACAAAACCACCTCTTCTCATGAGCCTCGTGTGAGTAGCGCTGCCGGACGTACGTCAAAACTACAGGCGAACCCAATTAAATTGAATTTCAGATAAACATTTTTTGTTCAGCGTAAGCATGCCCCCCTGGGCTGTACGAGCTGTCCTGCATCTTCTGGCGCCCTAGGGAGAAGGCAAGCTTTGAGGTGGAGAAAAGATGATTTGGTTCCTCTTAGAGGAAGAACTGGAGGAGGGGGAATCATAGGACCTAGAGTTTATAAATAGGTTCCACCGAACAGTTACAAAGGCCGGAAGAGCGTGCTTGCGAGACTGATTCAGAGCTCTGCTAAGAATCGCGTGTACAGCGTCTCACCTGAACCCTCCCACACGGCCGCACGACTGTGAAATCTTCTCTGACGTTTACTGAGTCACCCCCCAAGTATTTGTTGAGCACTGACTGTGCGCTGCTCAAGGATTCTGCTTCCAGGTGCGCAGTCAGAGCCGGAAAATTTCAGCTTCTGCCCACTCCTCCGCCTCTTTCTTTCCCCAGTCCAGCTGCAGTTTCCATGGTAACAGACTGAACCTGACTCTAGCTAAGGAGAGCTGAGCCTACGCAGGGGAAGAATGCAGAGCGTTTAGCTCGGCGTCAGGCAAGCGAAAGCTGGGGGATGGGAGGACTGCTGGAGCCCTGAGACCCACCGCTCCTGTTAATGGTTCACACAGGAACTTTGCTCGTTGAAATCCCTTGTTGGATGGGGCCTCTTCACGCAGAAGGACTGAAAGTTGGTAGTGTGAACCTCTGTAGACCCTGTGAAGACACAGGTTTTCGTTTCTGAAGCTCCTACCAACACTAGTGACGTTAACTTTATGCACCCTTACCATTTATTTATTTAGTCTATTATTAAACCAGTGGTGACTTGGAGGGTGCCGTGCTGTGCGTCAGACAGTGCTGGATCCACAAGGTCTAACCGCTATCAAAACAGAGCTCGTATTTATCCTCTTGAGACATTTCTTCATTTATCCTGTAGTGCATTCTGAGAAGCCTTTCTTTGTGAGATGTATGTTAGGATCTGAGGCATACACAAGGGAGCTACAACAGAGCACGGTGCTGCCTTAGGAGTGGTCCTGATGGCGTGGGAGTCGGCCCCTAAGCAGACAATCACAGAGGCAAGAATTTACTGAGCAGCTACTGTGAGTCCAGACGCTGTTTTGGGTGAGGGGATTCTAGCAGTGGACAGAACACATGACATGTGTTCTCATGGAACTTAGATTTTGGTGGAAAGCGAGAACAATGCGTATGTGAAGTGAAGTGTTAAATTCAGATTGACTTAAAAAGGAAAAATTTAGTGGGCCAAGTAAATAAAACTGCCGAAGACAGAGCTGGTCTCCTTAATATTCACAGACATAACTTGTGATTTTGCAGACCTCTGTAACTTGTCCGTCCAGAGCTCCTGCCCCCTTGCTCTTACCACAGAAACTATCTTTCCTATGGCATCAGACCCCGGCCCGGGCACTCCTTGCTGTTCAGGCCAGGGTGACTGGTTCAGGGATGGGCACCTCATTCCAGAAGGGCCTTGACCCTTCCCTGGGAGCTCTGAGCAAAGACATTCTCTTTGCTGGAAACCCAGGCTGATCTGAGGTGTGCCTGGCCTATCACCATCTTTTCCACATGCTGGGGAATTAGGCAAGACAGTTAAAGCCCCCCACAATGGGACAGCCAAGATCCAGGAACAATACTGGTTCTCTAAGCCTCCTTGCATTCTGCACTTACCAGTGAGGAGAACGGTGGGGCAAGTCTCACCAGCACGTTCATTTGTGTAAGGAATATACTTGAGCACATGTAGTATGCCAGGCATAGTGCCGGCTCTAAGAGATGTTTAACTAACTTGATGTCAACTATGCAATTCTTTTGCAAAAACCTGCCGTGCACAATGTGTATATGAGTGAATATGTGTGTATTCTACTTTATTTAGGGGTGCTGAAATTTGAATAGTATATTATCTTCACAAAATAGTCTTCTCTTTTTCAACCATTTAAAGATAATGAAACCATGCGTAGCTCATGGGCCATACAAAAACAGGCCGGGAGGCAGGTTTGACGCAGGAGTTGTAGCTCTCTAACTCCTGGCCTCGAGGAAAGCATAGCTGCAGGCGTGAATGAGCAGTTAGCTGAACATTGCTCTTTTCTTTCAGGGTTCAGTACTCCCTTCGGGAAGCAGGCATTCCTGGATGGAGAGAAAAACGGACAGACGTACAACTGTGTTCATAACAAATGTGTAGAACCTGCGCATGTAACTTTATCTGGAAAAGGAGATCTTTACTTATGTAATTAAGTTAAGCATCTTGAGATGAGGTCATCTTAGATTACTATGGTGGCCTTAAGTCCAGCGGCAGTTGTTCTTATAAGAATGAAGCAAGGGCCGGTGATATGGCTCAGCAGCACAGCGCCTGCCTGGCAAGCACCAGGTTCTGAGTTCGAGTCCTGGTACCAAGAAAAAAAAAAAAAGAATGAAGCAAGCCCAGTGTAGTGGTGCTCACCTATAATCCCGTCATTTGGGAGGCTGAGGCAGGAGGATTGCCATGAGTCTGAGGCTAGCGTGGGCTACATAGTGAGTTTAAGACCAGCCTGAATTACAGAGCAAGACCCTGTCTCAAAAAGAAAAAAAAGAGGCAAACATCATCACAATTTTGAGCCCAGCCTATGCTAGATACTAAGTTCAAGGCCAGCCTGAACTACATAGTAAGCCCCTGTCTCAAAAAACCAAAACCTCCCCCACCAAAAATGAGGCAGTCATATGTATGATGTACCTGGAATTTGCTAAGAGAATAGATTGCAAGGGTTCTCACCATGTGCACACACAAATGCTGGTAAGCCGAGGGAAGGGGTGTGTTAAGCAGCTTGACTGCGGTGATCACCTCACATTGTGCAGTATCCCAAAAGCGCTATGTTGTACACACTGTTTACCACTTTTGTCAATCATACCTCCAATCCGGAAGGATTTATAATTGTGTGAAAATCAGAGGATGGTGTGTTCTCAACTGTTTCAACAAGAAATTAACATGGCAATATAGTCGGTGTTTATTATCTTCTGTAGATTTATTGGGCATAAAATTTTGCTTTTATAAATGAAACAAAGTGAGGGAGAGCATAATTACTCAGACAGAAGCGGAGGCCGGGCAGAGTTAGAGATGGGGTTGTTTCTCTCATCTACCCTGGATCAGATAATACCTTTGTCCCTGCCTGGTGTTGCAAGGTCTGTGGAGGCCACATGCCAGCCGGCGTGGGGTGGTCGCCTGTGTGAGGGGGAGGTACACGGCTCAGTTCCCTTCCTCGACCGGGCCTGAAGCTTCGCTTTGCTGCATAAGCCGCTGGGCTCTGCACATCTATCTGATCGCAGGCCTCTGATAACCTGCGGTATCAGCAAAGCAAGAATGTCAGAACAGATCACCAGAGACGCTGCGGAAGAAAGAGAATTGCCTTATGCTTTAGCAATTTGTGTGCACATTTTCCCCACCTTTTGAGCTATTTTGGTTCTGCAGGCTGTGTCGCCAGCCCCGCTTTGAGTAGTTAACCCCGTTCCTCCCAGAGGGAGCACGCTCAGGCCCAGCTCCTCTCAGAACTCCTGCGCCCAGCGCACACAGCAACTCGGGACCCACCGACGCCCACGTAACCTTCACCACATCCTTCCCCCAGGGCCAAAGGGGAACTGGCCTCGCAGCAGCCTCTCACAGTGGTGAGACGCACCCGTCACCGGCCCCACCGGGCCCGCCGGCAGAAGGACCTTTCACCCAACCTCATCCCTGTCTCCACAGCGGGAGCGGCCACACGTCTCCGCGTGCGCTCCCGCCAGCATGTCCGTCCCTCCTGCGCTGGTGCCCTCCAGCTCGTTCTCCAGGCCCGCCCTGAAATCAGGCTCGTCTCGGTCTCCACGTGACCTGAGATCCCTCAGTGGGAGCCCGGGTCCTCACGAAGGCCTGTACAAAGCAAGGACGCCGGGTCCATCAGCAGGCACGCAAAGAGGTCCCGGCTTGGAGAACACCAGAGCCTGACTGAACACACCTGGGAGCTGGCTCAGTGCCACCTTCTCCTGAACGGTGACATGTACGAGCCCCGCACAGACAGGTCACACCTGTCACGGTGAACATACGTGTTGGGCTGCGTGTGTATAGCCTGATGCAGACGTAAGGTCACAAATGATAGTGAAAACCTGTGTGTCACGTTATAGGTAGACTTGGAGAATATTCTGGAATTTAGTTCACGGAGCAGAATCGGAGACATGCTGTGGTAACGTGGAAGAGCCGGGGAGGAAGCCAGGAAGGGAATGAGCTGGGCACAGGTGTCTGGCGGGCGAGCGTTGTTGGCAGCGGGGCCAGCAAGCGTGAATCCAGACGCAGTCACAGAACCGCGGAGAGCCCAGGGAGCCTGGAGCGCGGCCAGGGAGGGCGTGAGCTGCCCCACCCAGCGGTGGATGCGGAGCCCCGTTCAGCAAGCACGTCGCCTGCTGTGGGTGACCCTGCAGTAGGAGTGTTTGCAGGAGCAGGTTCAGTGCAATCCTCCTAGCTGAAACTTTATTGAAGGCTGTTTTTCAGACACCTTCTAGAAATAAGAAATACACTAGTGAAAATTCGGGTGAGGTCCTTGCCTGTGCTGATAGTTGTACAATTAGCACATAAATGGCTAAACATAGTGCAGTACACCCACACAGAGGAATATTACTCAGCCTTCAAAGAAAAAAAATTCTCACACTGCTACAGCTGGGTTAAAACATTATGCCAAGGGAAGTAAGCTAGTCACAAAAGGACAAATACTGTGTACATATTTGTCCCTACTTACGAGGTACCTAGAGTAATCAGATTCACTGAGAGAAAGTGGAATGTGATTGCCAAGGGCTGAGAGCCGGGGGATGGGAATCACCAGCTCATGGAGTGGAAGCTCCAGTTGTGCAAGATGAAGGGTGCTGGACATGGATGCTGGTGATGGTTCCAAAACAGTGTGAATGTGCTTACCACCACTGAACCGTAGACGTAAAAATGACCGACTGGGCAAATTTTTGGTTTTTTTTGTTGTTGTTGTTGTTTCTGGTACCAGGAATTGAACTCACGACCTTGTGCTTCCCAGGCAGGTGCTGTGCTGCTAAGCTAAATCCCCAGCCCCAACTGGGCAAATTTAATAATTTTTTAAATTAGCACATACATAAATGACACCTGTCTTCTAAATTCACCTCTCCATCCCAGGAGCACATTATTTTTCTTCCTGGATTTGATTCCCAATAAATGCATCACCCCAGGGTTTCAGAGATACACACTTTCTGGCCCAGATCTACTCCAGTTCTGTTCCAGCCCATCTCTCCCAGATTTAGGCAGTTTTCTTGTTGGAATGGTCACACACACCAGTCCTCTGGGAACATCCCGACTGGAGAGGAAACCGCTCAGGACAAAGATGGAGAGAAGATTTTACCCAGCGGTGTGGCTTAGAATGCTGCTATAGTGTTTGATCCTGTGCTCCACTGGCCCGAACTGGAACTGTGTTTCCCGTAGTTTCTCTCCGCTGCGGCTCTGGACCACCAGAGACTTCGCCTGAGATCAGTAAGGTGGGGAGAGGGACTGGCATCTGTGCTTAGAAGTTATGGCTCCTACACGCTGTTGCACGTCTGCCTGTCCCACCAGCCTCTCCTGGGGTGGACGCAGACTTAGGTCTAAGTTGAAGGACTCCTGGTGCCCACTGCCACAGGCTGGAGGACCGGCGGGCTCAGGGCCTGTGTGCTCTTCTCCCTCACTTTCCTTTCTCCGCTGCAGGGCCAGCACCAAACGGGGCCCAGCGCTTGAATAGATGGTGGGCATGTCTCCCACAACTGCAGACCAAGTCCCTATTGAAACACAGAGGCTGAAAACGTGCACATATTTGACCTAGCCACTCTGCAAGGAACCTAGACGAAAACTGGCAAGAATGCACGCTGATCAAGGAATAGTGCTAATTCCTCCACAGCTGGGTGCCGGCCATGAGCCAGGCCTGCTCTCCATACGGCAAAGCGTGTAGATGAGCAATCAGAGCACGTCCATGTTCCCCGGAGCCGACCGTCTAGTGGAGCCGTAGTCATCGGAAAAGTTCCAGACAGGGAAGTCCCCACGGCCTTTGGAGAAGATGGGTTGCTTTGCGGCCGGGGAAACAAGTCGCTGTTAGAATCAGTTTTAACTGGTTCGGCTGATCAGTGGCAGCTCACCAAAGCGAATACATTTTTGCAAGCCAAGCAATTGTTTTGCCTCAGGGGCTGAGCCCATCTGCGAGGCATTCTCTCTGATAAACACGCCTCGGCCTGCCAATCTCGCTTCAGAGCCCCCCGGTCTGCCGCAGCCATGGCAACCCTTTTGTCTTGAAAGCCCGGCAGCTCTCAGCACACCAAGAGTGCTGCTGTAAAATGAGGCCATTCTGCGGGGACAAACGGCCTGACTGTGGGGCTCTCCCACGTCACAGGAAGGGACAGACTCAGCACGGTCCTTTTGTTTTAAATATTGAGTTGTATTCATTGGCCAGGGTCACCGTGACAAAGTACCTTAGACTGGTGACTTAAAGACAGAAGCATGTAGTCTCAGCTCCAAAGGGTGAATGTTCAAGACCTTGGTGTTGATGGTGTTGATGTGTCCTGGGCCCCTCTCTCCTTGGCGTGTAGATGGTGTCTTCCTCCTGTGTCCTCCGTAGCTGTCTGTCTGTCTTCCTCTCTCTGTCTCTGTCTCTCTCTGTCTCTCTGTCTGTCTGTCTCTGTCTGTCTGTCTCTGTCTCTCTCTGTCTCTCTGTCTCTGTCTCTGTCTCTCTTTGTCCTGCCTCCTCATCACCTCTTCCTTCTCGGGACACAAATCACACAGGATCGGGCCCAGCTTAGTCACCGTATTTTACCTTGACACCTCTGTAAAGGCCCTGTGTCCAGATGCAGGCATCTCCTGGTGGGGGCACGATTCACCCCATAAGGGAGCAGCCGGCCCACTGTGCTTTAGCAAAGGAAGCACGCTGAGTGTACCTGGCTGTGGATTGTTCCTGCCCTCCTCAACCCTCCATGTTTTTCTGGGAATGTGTTTCCTCCCTCAGTGAAACCACATGCCTGGTGCTCTCTATATGAGCAAGTCTGTGTCACGTAAGCCCCCGCCCCCGTCCCAGGCTGCCCCGTCGCTCTTTGCCTGCCCCACCCGCTGGGCCAACAGCACCTTGGGGAGTTGGTCACCCCACTTCCTCTGTCCAGCGCATCCCACCGGGTCTGCGCTCCGCAGATGCCGGTGAAAGTGCGCTGTCCCTCACCACAGCGGCTCCTTCCACCCGAAGCCTGTGGCACATCCCTGTCACGACTTCACACGCAGTGCAGCTTCTGATGGGGATAAGGTCCAGACAACAGAACAGAGAGTGGGACAAACAGGCCCGGCCCTTAGAGGTAGTTCTCCCTGTGTTGTCTGATTGTGGGGATGGTGCTTTGATCTTCTGTCAAGAATCCCTAACCATTGGTTCCCAGGAACCAAATACTTCTGCTTTGCGACTTTCCATGGGGAAGGAGACAGGAGAGCGCGGAGCAGGTTCTGGAGCAGGAGGACAGGGAGCAGGTCCTCACTCTAGCCCTTTGTGCACTTAGCGAAGATTGCCTTAAAATTGGAAAAAAATGTGCTGAACGTAGAGTGCTGCCTCACGGTGAACACATTTTCACGAATGTACAAAGTGAAATGAAGTCCTCGTAACACTAGAGCCTCCAAACAGCGCGTGACAGCGGGAGCCGGGCTGATGAGGCTCTGCTTCGGGCAGGGGCAGACGGCCTGGAAGGCAGATGGCGACGCACCTAGGCAGGTTGTGTCCGCGCTGTTCTCTGCTGCACGGGTGCCTCCAACAGTGTTTAGCATTTCGCTAAAAATTGGTGAAAGAGGTGTACAGGGAGCGTGTGATTTCATCAAGGGTGGTTTTTATGAACAGATTTGCAGTGGGAAAAGTGGATGAAAGACTGCAATGTGTTCTAGTTTGCTTCCTTTGGTTTTCTTGGGGGTGATTTTTACTTTTTTCCCTTTCCTACTTTTTTTTTTTTTTTTTTTTTTGGTCTTTTTGAGATGGTCTCTCTCTGCAGTCCAGACTGGCCTTGAGCTCACTTTGTAGCCCAGCCTGGTCTTGAAGTAGCAACGAGTCTCCTGCCTCAGCCTCCTGAGTGCTGGGAGTACAGGTGTGTGCCACCGCACCTGGTCTCCTTTCCCACTTTTTCTGTGACTTCTAAAGTAGCCAGAATGGGGACATATTCCTTTTATTATGGAACAAGAAAACAGTATTTAAAGAGAGAACTAGGAGCTCGAACAGCCCGGATGGCAGATTCTCTTCCAAGCCAGAGCCACTGTGGAGGCAGAGCGGTTACCAGGGGGGTCCTGCTTCCTCCCACCTCGTGTCCTCATCCACTCTAGCCCACCGCCCACCGCCATCCCCAGACCAGGGACACCCCTGCCGCTCCGCGTGTGGGACGCCTGCGCCCCGCTCCCTGCAGCCCGACAGCCGCCAGGCACTTCTGTTTCCCTGTGGTCCCCGCCCAGGGACAAGGACTGCAGTTCAGTCACTCGGAGTCCGAGGGGGGAACCCGGGCCTTCAAGGACCTCATCAGCCCCACATTTTGCACATGAACCCGGCCTTCCACGCCTGTGTGTCCGCGGTCACACCTGTGCTCCGGGTCTCCCCGAGCCTCCTGGGCTCTGCAGCCACCTCCTCACCAGCACCCCTGTCCCCCGAGGGGCCCTCACCTGGAGCCACAGGAGGAAACCTGACCGCATCACCCCTCGGCTTTAAGCCGTCAACGCCCCTAGTGATGACGACCTCTCTGCGTGCCGTGCCGTGGAATCCCAGCCTCATGTCTCTTGCCTCACCGCTCCAAGCCCCGGAGAGTGAATATCACAAAGGCTGCCGCTGCCCATGAGGAAATGCCTGCAGGGCTCCCGGCACCGGGCAAGGTGGCTCCTCGGACCCCTTCCCGGGCACGGCCCGGGGTTCTCAAGCACTCTTCGGGGCCAGGGCAACTGCACAACAGACGGGACCAGGATCACCCCCACGGGGTGCACGCCCAAAAGAGCCGAGAGCAGGGCCTTGAGGAGACCCCTGGCCCCGTCCTCACAGCGGCCTCCAACACCCAGGAGGTGAGGGCGAGGGGAGCGCCCCGCTGTGCGCGGGCGGACACCCAGGACGTTGTCTACCCCACTGTGGAATATTATTCAGCACAAAGAGGACTGAAGTTCTGATCTCCTGCTACTGAACGACTGAACCTTGAGGACAGTGTGCTAAGCGGGAAAAAGCCACAAAACGGGAAAAAACAGGCACACAAAGATAAGCACTGCGTGATTCCAGGTGTGTGAGGAGCCTCGAGTACTCAGTCACACTCAGAGACGGAAGCAGGAGCCTGGCGCCGGGGCGGGGCCGGGCGGGCGGTGGGACGGCGGGCTCAGGGTCTGCCGGGCGCAGCCCCAGTGCGCGTCCTGCAGAGCTCGGAGACGGGCGGTGGAGACGGCCGCAGGGTGAAACTGCCGAAGCCCAGAGGCAGCGCCCCGTGTGGCTCCGGGCTCGCCCGCCCGTCACCCCTTCCCGGCTCTGCCTGGACCTCTCAGGCTGCTCCGGCCTGGGCGCCGGCTCTGGCCACCACCGCCCGCAGGAGAGGGTGTCCCTGTGGCCTTCCTGGGGTTCCTGGACCCCGCTGCGTCTGCGCTCGGTGAGGACACTCGGTCAGCGTGGAGTCAGCTGCCCTGGGAGCGTTCTCAGCGCGGAGATCGGCTCACCCCGCACAGCGGGGCCGTGTGCCCGAGACGTGTCCCACCTGCCCTCTGCCCCTCACGCGCCTCAAGCATCCTGTCCTCCCCGCCGCAGTGTCCCTTCCCCGTCAGACCTCCGCTTCACTGAGGCAGCGGCCAGACACGCGGCAGCACGAGGACAGAAACGACAGCCACGCTGTGACAGCGCCTTGAGCCGTCTGCGTGACTGCGTGCGCTCTTGCTCCAGCTTGGATGTCTCTTCCTGTGAGATGCCTTTCCTGGGAAACCCAGCTGAAATTGTCCCTGGCGGTCTCCAGCGGCGTCTGTCCTACCGTGGGTGGCCTCCGCCCTACTTTAACCCCTCGTTCTGTGATGAGGACAACTGATGCCTTCCTCAGGCTCTGTGTAAAGACACCCTGCTCGCCACCTTTACGCTGTTGGGACGAATACCTGACAAACCGCTTAGAGGAGGAGAAGCTCATTTTGCTCACGGTTTCAAAGGGTTAAGCCCGTGTCCGGCAGATGCCAAGACAGAGCCCTCAGCGTGGAGGAGAGTGGCTCACCTCATGGAGCAGAGACCAAAAGGAGCCAGAGAGAGAGAGGGAGAGAGAGAGGGAGAGGGAGAGAGAGAGGGAGAGGGAGAGAGGGAGGGAGAGGGAGAGAGGAGGGAGGCAGGAGGGGCAGGGCCGGGACAGACACAGCTCCGAAGCTGCACCCCAGCGATAGCCTCCACCCCTTGAGAGCACGTTCAGCACAGACTCACCGCGGCCTGATCCACAGATGGGGTCCGTCCTCCGTGATCCAGGCACTTTGCAGAAGTCCTCCCTCAGAACGCGTGAGTCTGGGGGAGACATTTGAGATAAAGCCATAACATGTAAACACCCAGGTTCAAGATCTCGTCTTCCCCCTTCTCACGCAGAAATTCCTGAGAAGCCAGCGCGTTCCCTAGTTTCCTTGTCTCCGTTGTTTTACTATGGTGAAAGACACATGACATAAAATTTACCGCCAGGTGTACTGTTCAGGAGCGCTAAGTGCGCAGTCCTCCCTCGCTGTACACTGGCTCACTTATTGTGGCTTCACTCCATCGTGGGCTTTTAAAAAAAATGTGTCTAATTGTGTATCGCAGAGGTTTCACTATACCACAGGATTCTGTGGTATATAGATTTTATATAATATTTATGATTTTAACTATTTTTGCCTAAAAAATTTAAAACAATTTAAAAATATAAAATGTTAATTCAAACATGTTAAAAGAATAGTAAATCAAAATAAAATGCAGTATGTATTTCACCAGCAGATGAGTACTGTACTGTACACAACGGAAATGCAGTAGCCACTACTGCTTGTGTAAGTTTGCCAACGTGACATTGTACACCGCACGCTATTGGCTGATGGAATGGAAGGCGACCAATCACAGCACTGTGCTCCGTATCCTGGGCACTGATTGGCTCAGTGACTGTAGCATCGGTCTGTTTGCTCTCCCGCACTGTGCCCATACCTTCAGCAGCTCTCCTTGACCCCTTCACATCAAGTACCCAAATAGAATTTTACAAATTGTTAAAATTACGTAGGTTTAAGTGTGTAGAAAGTGTTTAAGAGCATATGAAGTGTTTATAAGAGTGTAGGAAAGGTTAATAAGAGTGGGAAAGGTTAATAAGAGAGTGGGAAGGGTTTACAGGAGTGTGGGAAGGGTTTGCAAAGCCTTGAAATATATATAAATAATAAAATAGATATAGCGCCGCTACTTCGCAGACTTTCACCTATCGCAGGGGTCCCTGGAACGTAACTCCCGCGATAGGTGAGGGATCACCGTGCTCATGTTGTTGTAAAACAGAACTCAAGAGTGTTCTCCTCTCTGAAATCCGAAGCTCCGCGTCCATCTCCCGGTGATGACCCCCCCATTTCCCTCCGTCCTCCACCCGGCACCCGTCACCCCACTTTGTCTCCTCGTGACTTCGGCCACCCTGCGGACACAAGGAAGTGGGGTCGCACAGCGTTTGCTGTGGGGAGGCTGGCCTACTTCATGGAGCACAAAAGCCCCCAAGGTCATCCGAACCGTAGCACGTGACAGGCAGGACTGCTCTCTTCTGAAGGCTGCGGAATATTCCACTGCATACGTGCTGCGCACTTTGCTCACCCATCTGTTCATCCGTGGGCGCTCGGCTTGCTTTTACCTTTTGGCTATGGTGACTTATGAACATGGCTCCACAGTACCTCTTTTAGGCCACGCTTTCTTTGGGGTGCCCCGAGGTGGAGTGCTGGGTCGCAGGGTAATTCTGCGCTCAGTCTTTGGGGACTGCCACACTGATTCCCACAGCAGCGACACATTTAGCATCCCTCAGATCGTGCACGGGAGCTCCAGCTTGGTTCCTCTGTGGGACCCTCCCTCGTGGCTGTGAGATGCCACCTCGTTCTGGTTGGTGGGTGCATTTCTCTGTGGTCGAGATGCCAGACACCTCTCCAGGTACTCAGGTCGCTGTGGAATCATCTCTGAGCAACAGCCCGAGACCAGCCTCTGGGGGGCTGGGGGCTCCCTCCAAGGGGGAGCCCTCAACCTGCCCACTTCTGTGTCCTAGGAGCTGTCGTTTGGCACCTGCTGAGGGCTGGAAGCTCCTCCTCAGACAGGACCGCGTCGCCCTGCCTTCCGGCCCGCAGCTGGGGCCTGGTGATCGCCTTCCCCATGGCTCCGCATGAGCTGGACGCTGCTCTGAGGCCCACGCTCCCGCGGGTCAGGGCATTGCTCTGCAGTCAGGCGCCCGCCTCCCATCCCGGCTTCCCTGGCGCAGCCCCTCCAGCCCACAGTCGCGCAGCTGCGTGGCCCACCCTGGCACGTCCGCACTTCTAGCCAGCTACTTCCCCCTTCCCTCCTCCCCTCAGAGCAAACCTTGCAGTCCTGTCTCCTCACCCACACTGCCGTGAGCCCCAGTCTGATCCCACGGTCCTCGCCGCTGTCCTAGGGCAAGGCCACCGATCCCCTCCACGTGGACACAGCCGGGCACCGAGTTCCAGCTCTGAGAAGCATTTGACAGCGACAGAGTCATGAGTCCACGTGGACGCGGCCTTGCCAGGCGCCCAGACAACTCTCTCCCCCGGTTTTGTCCTGCCTGAGTGCCCCCAGAGTGGCAGCCAGCCCCCGCGTGGCCCCCTGGGTCCTCGCTTCCTGGCACGATGCCTCTGTTGGTTTGTCCCCGTAGCAGCACAGCACTGACCCACGCCCAAGACAGTACCAAGGAAGTGACACCGAAGGCTGTGACGAGGGCACCGCAGTCTCCTCCGCTGGCCCGGGGCGCGCGAGTGCAGCCCTGCGTGCAGAGAGCTGTGTGGAGGGGCCGCAGGCAGGGGTCGAGCTCGCCAGGACCGCGGGCAGCCGTGGCAGCCAGTAGATCCCCCATCCCGTCACGGCGTGGGGACGAGAGCCCCCCATGTGCTGACTGAACTTCACGAGCCCTGGCCAGGTCTGCCCAGCAGAGTTGCTTCCAAACCCTGAACTTCAGAAACCGCAAGCCGACAGGCAGTTGTTTTAATAAACCCGCAGCAATGGCCAGCCGTACGCCTCCGCGCTGCCTTCTCCTCTGCCGTTCTGTGAGACGTGCCCAGCCCTCCTGCACCTGCTTCCCTCGGGACCTGCGTGCCCTCCGCGGTCCTCCACCTCACAATAGTGCTTTTATGCTTTTAACCCTGGCTTCGCAGACGCTGGGCTGAGGCCCAGCTCCCCGTGTTCTGTGCGCCTCAAGCTCCCCCACGAATCTCATCGGCTTCTACCCAGACAGCTCGTGGGCAGCGCCAGCAGCCAGGAGACACAAGCAGCAGATGCCTCCGAGTCCCTGTGCCACGGGCCTCTCTCGCACCTGGATCCCACACCTTGCGGGCAGGCTGGGCCGCAGGGCTGTGGGACAACGCACTTCAGTTGTCTTGAGCCCCCTGGTTTGTGGTTGACTCCTGACAGCCACGGGAGATGCAGGAGGGGCCGCTGAGGCTGGAGCAGGACGGGCGGGGGATAGGACAGGCCTTCTCTAAAAACAATTATTTATACTATGTCACTGTGGCTGGCGCAGGAGGGCAAGAGCCATCGTGCGACTGCTCCCCTCCAGGAAGGTCAGAGCTGGAGGTGGACAGGCTGGGTCACTGGTGGGATCCTGTAAGAAGCCACGTCCACTCCGTCTCAGGCCACACCTGTGGCTTTTCTCTCGAATAGCAAATAGAAGAGAAAGCCCATTTCAAAGTCTCTTGGGTATTTTCAACAGTTTCTGAATTAGCTGTAGGACGCTCTGGTGTGGTTGTGTATGGCTAGGCATGCGTGTCCCCCGTGAATCTAGATCCGGCTTTCTGTCAAGTTCATGGCAAGCAACGCCGAGCTGCTTGGGCTGTGGGCTGCTGCCGCGCCCCCCAGGGATGCGCTGAGACCCTTCCATCGCGGTGGTGGCGCTGACTCTCACCTTCATCGCAGAGATGCCAGGACCCTCAGCCAGGCGCCCCACAGGACGCAGCCCGATGGAGGCAGACGCGCCCTCTCTCTGTGCGTTTCCACTGGACTCTCAGCCCCCAGACTGGACCGCAGCGTGGGTGATGGCTGAGTCACTCCTGTGCACGGCGCTGCGGGCTCTGAGCCGTCCCATGACTGAGGGCACCAAGGCCAGCAGAGCTCTGCTGAGTCACATCCGGCGCTGCTGCTGTGACATTCGGGGCGGGGGGCTGAGGTTCCAGGTCCCCTCGCTGAGCCCTGCAGAATTCCCCACGGAATTTCACTTGGGTCCCCGCCGGCTGCCACATTCACAGCCTCCTGAGACCACAGCTCTGATAAAACTTGAGAATGTCCCAGACCCTGGCGAGCGGGTGCCATGGAGCAGTCAGGCCCCTGACTGTGAAGAAGACCTTTGCCCCTGGAGGGCTCCCCAAAGGCCCCTGTGAAGAGCAAGACGGTCTCAAGAATCACGATGGTCATAGAAAAGTCAGAACCCGCCCTGCACCGCGGAGCACAGCTACCCTGAGCAGAGCGCTATGCCACGGAACATCCAGTCACCATGCAGACCCCTCACCGGAGACACGCACCCGCAGGAGGCCACTA